CAAAGTTATTGTCCTTGCTAATTGTATTTATTGCAAGATTTGGCAAAGCCCTTTAAAAGAAGGTAGTACTATTTTTGACTGTTAAGAGTATATCTTTGTAAATAAATGTCAGCTAAACTTTTATTTTTTTGAATTCTGCTTTTTCTAGTGGTTGCATGAAAACCACTGTGCAGCTATATTGATCTGACCAATACTGTATGTAAACAGAAAAAAACCACCCATAACACACAACTATAACAACCACCCACAAAACAAAGAAGCAAATACCCCCCCAAACAGTTATCAAAAACAGTTTAGAAGGACATATTGTGAGTATTAAGAAGTAATTAGAATATGCTGAATTATCATAAGGAACTACTTGAAGAAAAAAAGCCTTGGAGCTTTGGTTTCAGAAAAACTTCTTCAGCTTAGTATAAAGTAATAAAACTGTTACTGTTCCTTTGTAGTTACTGAGCCTTTTTTGCTGTATTTATTTTTGTCTTTAATCAATATAGCAATCAATATACTTTCCCTGAATTTCCATGAAAAGTAGAGTCATGTTATCATTTGAATTAGTTAACTGCAGCTTATGGAAAACTTAATAAAAAGATACTTGTGCTAAGTATGCAGTTGAACTCTATGGAATAGGAGAATGCACATAATGTGTGTTTTATGTGTGTGTTGGTAGCAGTGTTCAGATGTACTGCGTTAGGGCTTCAAAGTTGAAAAGGGTTAAATTCTTAGAGGTGATATTTGGGTTTTGCTTTTTTTAAGGATGCTGTAATGACTTCAAGTTTAACATGGGAAATATGAAAGTATTATTTTAGGACTAAAAGATTATATGAACTTGAACACTGACCAAGTTAATACGAAAATAAAGGGGGGGTTGCCTTCTGAAAAGTTAATATTTATTTGTGCCAAAATGCAAGACCTCTAAGTGCCACAGAGGCTTTAAAGTTCTGCTTGACAAGGGCTAAATTAACAGTAATGTTGGAATTGTGAAGCCAAATAAAATATTTTTGTTGTGACCATTTATTGAAGATTAATCTTACTGGGACTGTATTGCAGTCTGTCAGCTGGGTTCTTACGAAGGGAGCAAATCATTTTATGGGGGCCTTTCAGTGTACTGTAGGATAAGGTTACATTCTTCAAGGTTTTGCCTGCTAGGGCTAAATTTCAAGCTACTCTTTCTCTTACTGTTCTTGCAGGCAACAATTAACATTATTTGCTATCACAGGGCTTGAGAAATGAGAAGTGAGCTGCAGTATTTTTAGATACAGAAGTTTTAGCTGAATTTATTGCCTGTTTGCCGTAATGAAGTACTAGTTAGCCATGCTAACTAACATTCTCTATAGGCAATGTGTCACAGCTTGCTGTGTTTCTGTAATTCTAACTACTGAGCTCAAAATACAGAGGTAGAGCAGACAAAAGACCTATTGATTCAAGCTTGATTTTATCCATCTTTCAAGGGAATGTTTACTCCTTATTGCCTGCACATTAAGGGAGGATGAAACCTTGTTGGTTTGTGACCACGAAGAGTTAATTTCCAGAGTTTTTAAAGGCTGTAGGCTAATTTTTTACAAAAGTATTTCTTATTAATTTAATATTCATGAGATCAACTAACTGAATACTAAGAAGTGGATCTGTTTTTGCTGATGAAACTTGTTACTATTTTACTTTCTGATTTTTAGTGACTGTAGAATCTATTCGCTGACTTTGCTCAGTATGAAAATTTGATGGTGCTTTTCAGGATTTGGACTTGATACTAATAAATCCCAGACCTCTTGGGAAAACCTTAGTGTTGGAGAATAAGAAAAGAGAAGCTGTATAAGGATGTATGAGCATTTCCATATGTGGATTTTTGTGCTGTTTGAGGCATGACAGGTGTGTTTTGTCCTTCAGTGTTGTGCAGGAAAATGGCTCAGAACATTTGTGTTAATGCCTGTTGAGAGATAGGATTGGAAACAAAATTGTTGGCCTGGTCCCTCTCATAATTAGGAAGATTGAAGTTGAAAGTGGATATAAGGGAGTGATACAAAAGTTATCAGGAAAAAAACATTTACAACAGTCCCATTAAATTAATTGTGACAGTTACTTGAGCTCAGGAAGTCTTGAATTCTGAAGGCTTTCCACCAAGGGAGCTTGCAGCTTTGCATCATGAATGAGCTGTAAGTACTTATATTACTTGTTTTCACCAAATAGAAAATTTGTGAAAGTCGAAGTTATTTTTTTAAGATAATGCTTGTGAGAACCAACCCCTGTTAAAAATGAGTTATAGTATAAATTAAGCTACCTAAGGTTATGAGGCAAGTTTTATTGTGTTCAAACTCATTTTGGAGAACAGAGTTCAGCTTTTATCTTCACGGTATATTTCTAGCTAAGGGATTCTGTGTGCTTTGGCAATCTTGAGATTATTAAAAGGGCAAGTCCATACTGAATTCTGTCACAGGGAAACCTCTGTTTATGCTTTTGCTGTGTTTTTGAAAGACCCGTTTTTCTGTTTTTAGCTGAACCTGAAATTCTGTCCAGGATAATATCCAGGATATATCCCTGCTTACTCCTTGCTGTTTAGGCCTGCCACTGCTGCTGCTGCTGTCCATTAGTTTTGGACCTGCAAAACCACAAGAGCAGGCTTATGCTGCAGTTAGAAGTGTGCTTTCAGTTTATAGACATAAGCTGAGCTAATTTTAAGGTGGTAGCTTGGTTTTTAGCAGCATAGGATCTGAACAGATTTTTGAAAGACTAATTTGCCCTAAATGCAGGGCTGTCATAGCAGGGTTGCTGTTGGTCTCCAAACTGGGTTGTTTAAAGCAAGCTCAGATTTACCACCCTGAGCTGCACTCACACCTCTTACAGCTGTATAATCATAGTCAGATGTAGATACTGTGCACAGACAGCTTCTAGTGGGCTGCAGCAGTAAGATTGATGAGAACAAACCCAAGTAGTAGCCTGTATTATCCTGATAAAAGTCCCCGTTAATTGTGTTCCCCTTGCCACAGCTGTATTTCAGGTCTGGGGCATATAGCAGACAAGTATGAATTAGATTTCTTGAGTCTTTATTACCCAGGTAGCCTCAGTGGGATTAAAGTTATGTTCAGGACAACTGCTCCTTTTTAGAACTCAAACAATCCATTGTGATCGTGCGTGCAGGTATGTGAACATACATATGTGTACATATGTACAGAGAACATACTTGTCTGAGGTTTAGGTATAGGATTTTCTGGGTATTAATAATCACAACACCTGTCTACCTAAAAAATTACAAGTTTGACCTCAGAAACTGAATTTCTAGCTCAAACATCATGACAGCACTTGATTTTACACTTGCTGGAATTCCTGCATCTTCACTGACTACAGTTAGAACTGTAGGTGTTGAGAACAGTTGAACATTAGTTTATCAGATGGAAGCATAGAAATTAGAGACAAGCTATGGAGCAGTTCACGTAGATACTTGACACACACACAAGGAATTAGTGTTTCCAGTATATCTTTCATAGAAGCTTTTTTTCCAAGGGTCTACTCATGTGTAAGTGATGATTCCTAAAAATGTATTTATCATTTTATGTAATATGTTAAAGGTTTCATATCTATAGTCCTTGTATTTATCATTGGAAAGATAAAATTTCTGGGACTCTTCTTTATGGTAACTTTCACAGAGTCTAAAAAATGTTTGAAATATAACCATGTTTTTATTTTTATAAAATGCACAATTTTATACATAGAGAGTTGATAAGTGAGGAGATTGTGTTCAGTCTCTTATTTCCATTAAGAAATAGTACACATTTTAATACGTCACCATGCAGTGACCTAGGAATATAGGTAACTGCACATAATGAAGTCTGCCCTACTTCCTCTGCCTCTTCTTGACAGTTTTTCTCTTTTCTTTGCCTTGACAGTATAGAATGTAGTATCTTGAAAAGTGATTTTTTTTCTCAGTCTGTGTAGAGCAATGTAGTAATAATTTTATCTGAGTTTGTTGGATTTGATGGTTTATTTGTAAAGTGAAATGTTATTTATGATAAAATATACAAAAGTGTACGTTTTCAGAATAGAGTTTTAAACAATAAACTGTATAATAAATGCAATTGATGATGATGATGATGATGAGTATTGAACTGCTCCTATTTATACTAACCAGGAAACTTCACTGATTCGTGGATTTTATTCTAAACTACACCTCAGTACTGGGAAACACAAAATTTTTTTTAGTAGAAAAATATAAGGAATTTTATATGAAACTGAAGAGTGTCCATACTCTCATATAGTGTGGTGCTCCAAGTAAGAAAAATGTTCTTATTTCAGAGAACATTTGTATTGTTTGGTACACCTAAACCTCCTTTGTGAAAGCTCGTTCAAGAGAGTTGTTTCAGTACCTTTTTTCTTATTGTAAAGATGAACTGTCAATATCTCTGCCGAACTCTGCTTTCTGAACAAGCAAAAGGAGTATTAAATAGGTCTGTCACCACTCAGCCCCACTGAGACAAAATGCATCTTTACAAATACGTAAGTGCTGACTAAACAAATTTGTTTTATCTGAAGCAACTGTATGTTGGACTTTACCAAGCACATTTGAAAGAAATTAATCGTTTTTCCATTTCTGGTTGTGTTACAGATGTGATGGAAAGCCAGACTTCACTATGTAAGACTAGTTGCTTTGAAAAGTACCTCCTTGCACACACAGTCATTTAAATAAACAGGACTGGTTATTAGGGAAAGTTTGAGCTCTGTTTCTGAGAATGAATCACAGGATTAGAGTATAATCAGGCTAGAGCTTACACCGATTTGATTGCTTTACATTAAGTTTGTTCCTAAGGATACATTAACAGCAACAAGTGGAAGGTTAATTTTAGAGAAAGCTCTACCAAATATGTGAATTTAGTTTTAAGTGGATTAAGATGCACAAGTGTTTCAGCCAGTTTTAACCTCAAACTTCACTTGCAGTCCTTTGCAGTTACCCATTTAAAAGTATCAGTGTTGAGAACTGGTGGTCTCTACTTAGGCATTTTCTCTGTCATTCCCAGGAAAGATGTCTAGAGACCGGGCTCTCAGGAAGCAGCAGCAACTGAACAATTTGGTAGCAGTGGTGACAAAGCTTGCAAAGCCTGGAGATGTGATTGTGGATTTTTGCAGTGGAGGGGTAATGTATATTTCTGTTTATGTGGTACCATTTATTTCAGCTTTCATCTTTGCAGTTCTAGGTGGTTGCTGCCACAAAGCAAAGCAGAAGTACAAATGCCAAAATTTTACCTGCTTTCAAAGGTTCTGTCACTGTTTATGGGATGCTCATCATGTAATGAGTGAACAGCTGGGAACACCGAAAAGTGATTCAGATCATGTCATTTGTTTTTGTTTTCACAGGGCCATGTTGGAATTGTTCTTGCTCACATGATGCCGTCATGTCAGGTAAATTGTCAATAAAAAGTACAGATAGTACGAGCTTTTGGTCTTAAAAAGATATGCATGTAGGGAGGGCACATGACATCACAGTTGTCTCAGCAGAGGACTTAGGTTTGAAACATGGAAATTTTTAGCATAACTCCCAAATGTGCGTGGTGCTTTCCTGAGAAGACAAAAGTTGTAGGAAAATATAAAATATTTGAAAGCTGATCAATGTTGGCAAGTATTAAATGCCTTCAATTGTTATTGGGTTTCCAGATAATAATTTTATAGATCACAAACTCTACCACAAGTAATGCAGAGGTTTTCTCAACTAAGCTAGAAAGTTTTCTGCTTGGTAATGTTGTACTTTGATTTCTCAGTATTATTTTGCATTTCTCCTATGTGTGAAATCTAGGTGGTACTCATAGAAAATAAGGAATTGTCTCTGATCCGTGCTAAAGACAGAAGTGATGAACTAGGTTTAAACAACATTTGGTTCATTCAAGCAAATTTGGACTATTTTAATGGGACTTTTAACATTGGGGTAAGTGATTATAACTTTTCCAGTTCAAAACTTCAGTGTCTGGTTCATTATTCTTAGAATAACTAAAATAGCTGAGAGAAGAAAGTTCTCTATATCCTTACAGACCCTGAAAATAAATGAGATGAACGTTCTCTAGAACTCTGCAGCCCTAGTGAAGAATAAGGCATAAATAGTATTTTGTAACTCTCTAAATATTCCTGTCTTCTACTTTTTTATTCTGTTACTAGAATATGAACTTCTGTGGCAAGGCTCAAGCTTTCCATGCAAGACTGACTGTTCTTTAAATCATCCATCTAAGGGCCTGTTTTGGCTGTAGCTGAGGACATTTAATGCTGAAGGTTTATGGTATATGAACAGTGCTGTTTAACTATTTGGTTGGTTTATTTGATAAAGGAAAAGAAACACAGTGCGGGAGAAAGAGGAGAGAGTAAATGGTTTTAGCCCAGTCCTTCCAAGTGTAAATTTTCAATTCTCTGGCTTTAGCTTTTGTGCTACAGTGTCATATAAATCTCAGTGGATGAACTAAAGATCTATTTCAGGAATATCAGGATCTTGTGAATAATTTACTGAATTGTGTGTGTGAAATGTTTAATAGTTTTTCCGTGAAATGCATCTCCAATTTTGTGATCATTGGAATTTCTGTCTTAATTTTTGGGGGTCTATTTGAAGGTTAATATTACGTTAAATATTTCTGTAGAGTTTTTATTTAATAAAAAAGTGTTATACTCTCTCTTTCAAGTTTTGTGACAAGGAAAATACTGAAGTATATGTCAGAAGAATTCCCTTGGAAATGCTTCATTTCTGGGCCTGTGATTTTAGTTTCTTTGACTTGATTTGTCCATTCAACAGACAAACCTGGAGCTTTCCCTTTTTGGGAGACCTGTATCAATGTCAGCTTCAGAATTAGTTTGCATCATACCATGATTCACTCTTCAGAATTAGCTCATTAACCTAGGATTAACTTTCCTTGGCATATTTAAGATGGGAGCTGCCTGGTTTACTGAACTGTGTTTGAACATACAAAGTTCAATAAAAATATAAAGTTTAGCTACTTTTGCCTCATTATGTCATAAACACTGGTCTGATACAAAAATGGATATAGATACCATAATGCATAGATAAATAAAAAGTTTATCAATGTGCCATATTTAAACCCATCTTCTGAGACTTGTAAAGCTATTCACTCATTGCATGACTTCACCATTTTCAGTAAAACAATACTGTAAATGTGAGGAAGGACACAATGACGAATTCACTGGTTATAGTACTTGAAATTTAGAGAGGTATAGAAAAATGAATGTGACTGAAGTCACCGTTTCTGGGTTTAGTATTAGTTTAAAATAGGTTTATATGCATTTTAGTTACCTTGACATCAAATGTATGTTATTTAGCTATTTTTTATCTGTCAGGAGTTCAAAAGCAGGTTAAAAAACCCTATGTGAACCTCCTCCCTTTTGGTCTGCATGAAATTTCTGCCCTTATGAACTCTTGGGATAATGATGGTCAAGGTTCTGAAACAACATGTTTGAGTGCCAAATGTACTGGTGCGTTGTACTATTACATGTTGTAGTACAACCACCTACCACAATAAATTATTTCAGTCTTAAAGTGAAAGCTTCCAAATGCTTGTGTGCAGTGTTCATTTACATGCCAACACCCAGAGGAGTCTGAGATCTCAGCTGTTTTTAATATTTCTATCGTACTCACAGTATCTCAGCTAATTTGTGAGAACAAGTTGAAAAGTTTAACGTTTGGTTGGAGAGCAGGGATATTTTTGAGCGTGTTGAGTACTCTTATTTTTAAGATGACTAAAGTAAACCTGAAGTTTCAGGAAACATTCTTTTCCCTTTGCTTTTCTGTGTGCACTGGACTGTTCTGGGCAGTTGGAGTACCAGAGGGCTAGTACAGGACAATGGTCTTGCACTGCATTAGCTCTGTTGCTTTCATCAGGGGCCACTTTGCTTTCCTGTGTTTACAGATGTTTGGATTTGTGGACCAAATATCTGCATATCTGCTTTAGTCTTCACAATTTATTTTGTTTCAGACAGTGAGTTGGATATACAGGATATCCTGAGAAAGCTTTGTCATTAATTTTGTCTTTTTTTTTTCCTTGAGTAAATTGGTTCTGAGAAACACAAAGAAAAAAATCAGTTGATGTAACAGGTCATATAGGCTCAGCAAAGCTACTGGTTTTATCTGCTGCTGTTTTACGGTCTCTTTTTCAGATGTGCAAGCAAAATAGAGATCTTTGTTTTCTGCTTGGATAGATGAGGAAGTAACTGTAATTACATTCCACGTTATTCTGATAGCTGTGATGTTAAGACTCTATTTCTGATGTTAAACTACTTTTATTTTTGTTAAATTCATATGAGCAGAAAACTTTCATTATGAAATTATTTTCTTGTTAATTTTTTAATGCTTGAGACAAAAATAGTTGTTTCCATCTGTATGCAGTTACATTTCAGTTGAAGATTAATGGTCTGCTCAGCTGAGCTTACAGCAAGCAGAGTGCAAACAAAAAAAGACTTTGTTTTAATCTGTATCTGAGAGCAAAGGTTTTATCTTCCAATTGCTCTACCTTGAAAAACAACTTTGAATCCTGAAATCTGAGCTGTGCAGCTTTAAAGCTTTTCCCTTTAAAGCTTTATAGTGAACCAAAAGCAAAGAAAACAATGTAACTTTATAAATCCACACTGCTGCGTAAAATTACAAATGTCTCAAAAATGTCCTTAGTTCAATGAAAACATAGAGCAATATCTATGCACCAGGCCTACTCTTTGAGATACAGAGTACATAGGAGGAGGCAGAGTAAGTAATGTCTTCATTTCACCTGGCCTGTTTGGCATTACAGAGATGAGAGAGCTGCTTGCGTTTCCTTGCACTTTATTGAGTACTGCAGTAACTTGCCTTTCTGTAGGAGAGCATGAAGAATTTGGGTGCAACCTGTGCATTGCCCAAACACATGTCAGTGTTCACAGGTAGTTGTGATGAAATGTTATTCTAGTTTTAGCTGAGGAGCCCATCACTAAGAAGAAGAAAGAAAAGATTAAGGAGAAGGAAAAAAAAAAGGAGGGCAAGTTGTGTTTGATGCTTCCCCCCACCTCCATTGTTTATTTTTCTAGAGGTTTTATTCAACATCTTGAAATCTAATGATCTAAAATTATGTTACATTTTCTCCTTTGAATGTGACCTTCAGGTATATGTGTTACTTCTCTTACTGCTAAGTTGAAATCCAGTTTTGAAATAGTTCTTTGTGTTTCTAAGTCCTTTTTGCTTGACGAAATCCTTTGACTAATTACCACAAATAGTTTCTCTGTAACTATTTTTCTGGAGCTTTGTTTTTAATTTATTTGATATCACAATGTCGTGCACTTCCTTCTGAGTACTTTTGGTGAGTTACCCTTCTTCAGTGTTGATGCTGAACAGGATTGTATTTAGAATGTTGCTGTAAGGAATTTTCATGTTTCCTTGGTTTTTGTTTTTAACTGCTGTAGGTGGCTCTGCACGCCTGTGGTGTAGCCACAGACATGGTGATTGAGCACTGCATCCGGGCACGGGCAGCCTTTGTCATCTCCCCGTGCTGTTATGGCTTCATTCAAAACACAGTCAAGTTCAAATATCCACGAAGGTAAACGAAAGCTAACAAGATAAACCTTAAAATACCAACTTAAGTGATGGGATAAAATACTAAGAGAGTATAGAATTAATCAGTTGAGGATCATTGCGAGTTTCTGAGCTAAGCTGATTCACACTTAGAATGACACTGTTTTCTCCTTTGTTTTTGCCAACCCATCATGAAAGGGAGGCAGATTGGTAATTGCTGGATTATTTTTTTTCTGGATTTATCTTTCATAGTTCAGGAGACTTTGTGCAAGGAGCATAGTATGTAATATGCAGTAAGATACAGTATGTAATATGCAGACCTTTTACCTTTAAATCACAAAGTTAATAGAAAACTCACAAAAATTACTGTAAGAAGGGGAATTGACATTTTAATGTTGCAGAAAGATGTAAGCAATCAGCTTAAGAAGTGGGTCTGCTTTATACCACAGTTTACTGCTTGTGAAACTTCTCTGATTTATTCCCAAGTAGACAAGCTCTCCCGTATTTCAGTTCATATTTTTAGTACTTTTTCAATGGCATGTACCACTTTTTCAATGGACTGTGTACATATTTTGTCTTCAAATCTGCCATGTGGGAGATACTTATGTATCTTATGCTTAAGAATTTTAATGCCTTTGCTATAAATAAAATGTAAAAGATAAGCATAAAGTGGCAGAAGATAAGAGGCTACAGCCTTCTGAATCAGAACTAGATGGCGGAAGAGGGTTGTGTTTTGGTTGGCTTTTTTTTTTTCATAAAGCTGAGCTTTGCATTTTTGATGTCCAAGATTTAATTCTACTAGGAATTGACAGAAGTATAAATTTGCTAAAATAACAAACTGAAACATGCAGTCTGACAAGGAATCAATAAATCTAAAAAATCTTATGCATCCATGTTAAATATTTTTCATATTTTCATATTTTTCTGTAATACCCAAGTGTGCTGGCACAGAAGTATAGAGAGTAAATATTTAGAATTTGTCAGTTTGATAAGCTTTGGATTTAACAGTGTTTTCTTAGTCCATTTGATTCTTCCATCTCTTTGTGTGTGTCCATTTTTATTTTCTCTTGAAACACAATAAAACAAATAAGTTTTCTTAAGGAAGAGGCAATAAAATTTTAAGTCTTTTAAAACTAGCAGGCATATAGCTTTTCTCAGTTGGCTTGTTTTAAAATTGACTTTATAATGTCGGACTTTTGACCAGTTACTTTTTTGGACCACTAAGACTAGAAATGCTCCCTATGTTAGAAAAGTTTCGTTGCTATAGATGCTGCAAGAATATAAATTAGGGGTTTGTGTTTGATAAAATTTTGAATCTAACATCACAAGCCTCTGTAGAAAATTATTAACCCTATTTCGAGCTGTATTTTAGGGTTTGCTTTTTCTTTTTTTCCTTATGTTATATGATCATAAAACATAATAGTCTGCCCATATCCCCATAGTGTCTGTGTTCTGTAGTCAATTCCTTTGTAGAGGCCCCTTACTTTTGTGACACAAACAAAATATATACTTGTCTAGAGTATTATTAAGTATATATTAAGTATTTATATGACAATGAGGAAAGAACAGTAAATCTGTGTTAGTATTTATAGTGATTTAGAGAGAATATTTTTATGAATAACATAATAGGGAAAAAAAGACAACTTCAGGTGCACTTTTCCTTTTCTAGTGAACAGGAGCTGCAATGGGGTTTGGTATTTTTGAAAGCCTTTCTGTAGGATACAGATACTGCTACTTTGTTTAAAATGTGTTTAAGTATTAAATGATTGCTCCTACTTTCCACCTCTGCTGGTTTTAGATGTTAATTAAATTGGTCTATTTATTTTTTTTTCAGTCATCAGTTCAAAGAAATTTTGTCCTACAAGGTATGTAAAATGGCAGGCTGGGAAGGTTTATGTGCAGTTTCCTGTGTTTCACTGGGTCATCTTATCAAATGAAATATAGGTGGTTATCTTTTAATTGCAAGGAGTGGCATGTGTTATATGCAATGTTCGTTAATAGTGCAGATGTCATTGTGTTTTCTCTCCACCATCCATGTTTTAAGGCTTTTTTTCTTCAATAAAATTAAATAGTTTCTCTACAAAAACCCCCTTGTTTTATCATAATGTATAAGTGAGCCATTCCTAAAGTACTTCAGCATGTATCCATTAATGATTACAAGATGCCAATTTATTTAAGTCTTAAATAGAGCCATTATTTTCTAAAAATCATTAGATTTTTCCCTCTAATTTATGTCTAAAAGATTGGACATACCAAGTAGGAAAAGCTTGTACTGATCAGCAAGAATTTTATGCAGAATTGTTTTAAAAATGTTTTTCAAAATTGAAAGTATTCAAGTGCATTTTGACCCTGTGAAGGAGGGGTCTGTGGAGATAGTCCGAGAGAAATGTGGGAGAAAGAATCAATGAAGCACACAGATCTGACAGAGTGAAGATAACAGGGGAGTGAAAAAGGACAAGAGCAGAGAGGTGGACAGCAGAAAACTGGTACTGAACTGTTAAACTTTGTCATGAGCGTTTAGATGCACTTAATGTGGCATGGAAAGAAAATGTTTCCTTTTGAGAGAAGCAAGGTTATAGAGAAACTTTACTAAATTTACATGTCAAACCCTGGACAGAGGTCTTGGTGTTTACAATATAGAAATGAATTTTGGAGATGCAGAATAATTCTTTATAACAGAAATATGAAAGCAAAGGAAGGTATTTGTAATATCCAAATGTTTTTTTGGGACAGTGAGCAGTGCAAAGATGCTGTATGTGGCAGGAAAATGGAGATTATCCTTTTTAATCCTCAAATAAGAGGGAGTTTTAAAAATTAAGAAAATTTCCAGCCATTTTCTAAGGGAAATTCAGTTATCTGCTAATACACTAATCTTACATTCATGACAGTCTGGTTTATGTACACTTTGCTAATTTACATGGAAATAAATGCCCACAGATTGAGACGACAAAAGCTGCACAATGGATTTGGACCTGTCATTGTTTTTCCCCTTGTTTAAATTTATATGTTTCTAACACATAATCACAAAGAACTCAGATTTCAGTTCAGAAAAAATTCATTTACTAACATTATTAAAATAAACTAGTTAACAGTATATAGAGAGATGGTGACAGTATAAAGTCAGGGATGCCTAGATTAGAATAGTGTGTATAACTTCATTACAACTCAGTGAATTTTTTTCTTAATCTGTTAATCCATGGAGATTTAAATCACAGGGCTTGTCAACACTGTAGATTCCAGCATTTTATTATTTGTGTTGCAGAGGGCACAGGAGTCAAAGACAAGGCTAGAAAATATTGCTGCTCTTAATAATATGAGTCTATACAAATGGTCTAGGCTGGTTGGTGCCTCCAATAATCCTAGTTATAAATAACTTCTGTTATGCAGCTAGCTGTATGCATTTTTATATTTCATATTAATAAATTGTTACAGGTTATTGGCTAGCAGCCAGAGTTGCCATGTGTTAGCCAGACGTTGTGTGTGTCACCCCCTCCAGTTCCCATTTTAAATTAATTTCTCTTATCTTTTATTTTCGTGAGATCTAAAAAGACATCCAGCAGTCTGACATTTCCAAAACTTTTTTGATGAGAACATTATGCTGTAATTCATTATTTTATTGTTGCAAAGAATAAGGTATCTGTAGATTTCTACCATGATACATTTTGAGACTGTTTCTCAAGACGCAAGGAGAATTAGAAAGTAGAACTGTATAACTTTGCATATACTTTTCATTTGGAAATTTAATAGGAATTGAAGGTAAGGGTGTTCTAGTAAGCAAGTTACCTGTTTATGCACACCCAAAGTTTGGGCAGTTTATAATCTTCATTATTTAGAAATGCTTTTCTTCTTGTTTCTGAAAATTTAATGTGTGTCATGGGTAAACAATGTAGTCATAACATGCTCTAATTTATCTCTTTGAATCACCTCTCTAAGAAGCCAAGGCATTGGAGTCAGTCCAGATTTTCAGGTTAAGTGATAAGGCTTACCTTGGCTCTGGTCTGGTCCAAAGAGCTGGAACATTGATGTTGCAAAGAGCCAAGTTGTATTGGGTGCCTGAAGGCTGGTGAGGAGTTGTGTGCTAAGATGGATCTTTTCCCTCTCCTCTAAATCCCTGTTTTTCTCCCCAAGCTGCCTATCACTGCTGCTTCTTTCCTAGTAGTGGCTACATTGCCCATGGCTCTCTTTCTCCTTTGTTCTCCAGTACTCATGTCTGGGTTAACATTTTCAACTCTTTTGTACTACAAAAATAGCCACATTTGAATGGAACTGGGTGGGTGGAGTGCGTATAAGTCCTAAATGTATTATAACACGTTCTCATTTTGCTTCCATATCTTTTATGAAGCTGTGAGCTGGAAACCTTCATGCCAATGAGCTGTACTAGGGAACAAATATCCTTGCTTTAAGATACTGTAAATTTATTTAAATGAGTAATATTTGAGTATCAAATGGTGATAATATTTTATTTTATAATATGTAAGAAAATTTTTTGCGGTCAGGTGTCTATTAAATTTATGAGTTGGATGGAGTGTAGTGTGGGGTAGTTACCATCTTGATTTAATATGAAGCTTTTTAGTGGAATAGAAACTCTTGGATGTTTATGTCCCTCTAATAAAAGGCTGGAGTAAGTATTCTTACTTCAGAATACTGAAAGAACCTGAAGTGTCCTTAGGTGAAGTTGCTCTCTCCACCTGGTACAAGAACCAATTTTTTAATGTCATAATTTTATATCAGGCAAGAATTAAAAAAAAAAAAAGTTTTTGATACAAGACACATGCCTTTTTTTCAGAACTATACCTCTGGAAGTTTTGCTTTGGAGACCACTTTTTGTTGTTGTCCGTTTCTGTTTTTTCCCTGTGACATTGTAGGAGACTTGGGAATGTTGTACAATTCTAAGATGATTCTGATTTCTGTCCTGTACTTAATATTGCAGCTGTCCCAAAGAGCACAGCTGTCATCAGAGCATTCATTTCATTGCTACACCTGCAAGGCTTTTTCTTTCACCATCTGGCTAACTTGCATTCCTTGGCTTTGCTGGTCTTTGAGCAATCATTATGCTGACATAGGTGGTGGGATTTGAAGGCAAATGAGGATATGGGGTTCTACCCACTTGTGTAGTGATCTAAACAGGGAGTGAAATGCATCCTCCACTGCACCATCCCCCTGGGTGACAGGATAGGAAGAAATCAACAGCAGCTGTTGTAGAAGCCTTTGCAAAAACTTCTGGTGGAACAGGGATAGGTTGAAATTGCATTATGATAATTTTGATGGAGGAGACTTTCCTATTCACAGCCAGGTATTTTTTGCCTTCAGGATCTTTTGAGTTGATCTTGACTGTATTTGGCAGGGCAGAGGAAGTTTGACCATGAGGCTGTTTTTCTGGGATTCAAAATCACTGCTTGGAGAAGTGTGCAGTAGTTCAAATCACCTGTTTAGGAATTTTATCTTGGCTGCTTATTGATGCAGAGGTGCAGCCCTTTGATGACTGTGCTAAAAGAAGACTGTGTTGCTTATCAGTTATTGAAGGCAAAATTAGTCTGCAGTATGTCTTTGAAGAATGCTCTCTTGCATACACTGCATCCAATTCAAGTGCTAAAAAGAATTAGAAAGTTTAGCAAGGAACAAATACTGATGAGGAGAAATGAGATAGTGATTACAAAATCTTGATTTACACACATATTTGCAGAATAAAAATTGGGATTTGCACACAGATAAATTTTCTAGAAATACAGTCTTCAGTGTAATAGCACTTTTAATACTTTCAAACATTTAATTAGATTTTTCTTACTTTATCTTCTTTTTTTGTTTTTAGGAGCACATGATTCTTTGCAGATTTGCAGATCAGACAGCTGTTCAGCTTCCACCTGAACGCAGGCTAATTGGTATGAATTTCCCCAGCTGCTGTGTAAACCATATCAGTAATGATTTCACTTGATATATAAAGGAAGAAATAGACCTTTATGAATAGGGCATTAAGTTGCTGTCTTCACATAAAACTTGAAAAATTTTAGTTTTGTCACATTTCACTCTTACTCTTCCATTCTATGGTATAGAAACTCTTCTCTTATTTCAAAATCACCAATACGAGATAGTTTGCATTTTACGGATTTTTTTAAAATTTTATTTTTTTTTTTACTTGCTTGACCTTTTTTTCCCCCCCACCATTCTATGAAAAGCATGAGATCTTTGTAAAGTTCACTGATGTCCTGCTACTGCCAGTTCATCTTCCATTGAAACCACAGACTATTCGTAGTAGTGACTTTCAGTGTGCCCCCTTTATCCTGCTTTTAGTCACTGGGGATAACTCTCTTAGGAGGGTAGTCATCTAATGCCAGCTGCAAACAACAGGGGTAAGTTGCAGAGGTTGGGCTGGCTTTGGTCAGAAGGACAGCAAAATACAAGCTACTTCAAATATGTGGCATAAGCTTTGACTTACAAAAGCGTGGTGCTTGTTCTGATGGAAGCTATAAATGAGCTTCCAGGTCAGAAAAGACAGACGAGGCTCGGAACTCTAAGAACATAACTCTGCTTTCTTGGCTTAGAAGAAATACTTACAAACTACATTAAAGCAGTAGTAGCAAATAATCATAATGTTTTTAAAAAGCTTAATTTGAAGCAAGGTATTTCTTATGCTCACTGCACAAAAAGAAAGTTATACAGATTCTGTACACAAGCTGATGAGAAATTTTGTGGCTTCTTTTGTTATCATCACAGTATTTGAAAAAAAGAAATTAAAAAGGGCAGTGTTCAGTTACCAGTGTAGCACCCCACACTGTGGACTAAAAATTGAAATACGACCCAAATTAATTTTTTTTAAAATTTTTTGAAAGATTGTAATTTTTATCTGTTGACCACGTCTGAAACTGCAGGGTTTTTTTCCATAAATGTAACTTTCATGTGTTTTGTTCTGACAAAAAAACATAAATATAAATCTTATTCTCCTCTTCCCCTACATCATTGCTTTTTCTGTTTTCAAGAATGTTACTTTTTCTTAAAGTTCCCTGTAATACTACTCTGTTTCATTGAAGATGGTTCCTATTTCCCTGTTCTGCTTCAGCTTTGAAACTGGTTTTGTGGGAATCTTGTTTAGCAGTGTTTTTAAGTTTTCCTTGCAAACAATTGCATGAGATCATTGTTACAGCCATGGTGAGAATGTTTTTGGTAAATGCATGAGCAGGTATTGATAAAACTGTGTATTTCATTTAATGAGAGTATTCCTGAACAGGTGGAGGCTTTTTCTTCTCTTGTAAATGGCAAAATCACTTATTCTGCTACTTTTTTAATATTTTAGGATTATATTGTAAACTACATTTTAGCAATTACCACTGAATTTATGCAGCTTCAGAGAAGTGACAAATCATTTGCTTTAATTACCTGTAAGTTAAAATACAGCATTTGTCTGTGACTGTCATCGCTGAAACAACACATTTGAGGAGTTATCACTGATTTCTATAGTATCTGTGAAGGTAAAAATATGCAGTTGAACCCAGTTCTGCTACACACAGTAGTTCCCTTTTAAATGAACGAAGTTCTGTGTATCATTTGCGCTGGACATGTGGCTTTTACACACTATATGCAGCAGAGCAGACTGAATGGTTAAATGGCTTTGCTACAGCCCACCTGCTTACACAGAACTGCTCCATGCATTTCACACAGTCTTACTGAGAGCACCCAGGGAAGCTCAGTTGTGACAATCTGTGACTCAGGCCCCAGTTGTGATAATCCCAGCTGCCCTTTAGTGTGTACACATGGAATAATAAGGATGTTGCTGTCAGTGGCATGTGTACATGCCATTTTATTCAACCAGCCACAGAAGGTGATTTTCTATGAAGCCACAAATGCGGGAAGAATAGTGCCACAAACAGTAATTTGCAGAGTTGTGTCCTGGGTTTATAAACTGCTAATTTCTCCCTGCAACGCATAGATCCATACAGAACTGAGTTGCAAAGTTCTTTTTCAGGCCTTCCCTCAATATTTTGTCTCTAAATTGTCTCCTACCCAATTACTACCCCTCTCAGATTCCAAGCCACCAATAGAACAGAGTCCAAATGTCATAACATTGGTGAATTCAAAGTAGTGAAATTATTTTGTAACTAAGGAATTCAGCTGAGAAGATAGTTCTGGCCATCAGCTCACTGTGGAAGGACAGAATAGATTGGACTGAGTACTGTATTAAAGTGTGATGTGCACCAGCTGTTCTGAAATACAGGGATTCTGAGAAGCGTTTGTGCCACCCACCAAAACTTCTGCAGGCACCTAACCAGGGTGCATAACAGGGCTTATAATGGTGCAGGTACAAAAGCTCTGTATACACTCAGGGAAGAGGTAAGCAGTTCCAGAGGAGCTCCAGAGGAATATGCCAGACTCATATCCTGATGGTAAACATGATGTGGTTCTGTGTCTTCCCTTGGTCTCAGACCCCAAATATATTTAACTATACAATTTTGTCAGGAGCAGGAAAAGAGGTAGGATCATTGGCTTTGAGACCGACGGAGGATTGTGCCCTGTTCAGGACTTGAGACTGTATGACTATTAGTCATAAAACGTTTCAGGGAAGTGTTAAATCTTTCTTGCAATAGAGTTTCAAACTGCTGAAATACAATCTGACAAGTCAATTCGGTATTTCAGAACATAATAATCAATTATAATGAGTAAATAAGTAGAGACAAATGGTTCCATCATCTTGGCATGGCTGTATCGTAATACAAATGTCTAAGCTGAAAAAATCCATTTATCCTTCCTGTTTTTCTGCAGATAAATCTGAGATAAGCTTAATTTGCATTACCAATGTAGTATTCTTGTTTACAAGAATATGTCTCAAATCAATTAGACTGGATAACTTTTTTGTGTTGTCTTTTGTTGAAGTTCAATAATCAGAGATTTTCAGATTTTAGATGAAAGTACAGGAGGAAAACAGTTATGGTCATAAAGGGAGTAGAAGTCTGGAAATTCAGAGAGCTAGGGGGTAAACGAGGCATTTTTCTTCCTCCTGTGGCTTTTACATTAAAGTATGGATTTTTCTGTACATTTTGAGAAAGGCATGACTGTTTTTAAGCTTTCTCCATATATAAAGAGTTAATAATCTTCTCAAGATCTTTGCTAAATGAGGGTTACAAGTCACAGATGTGATTTGGAACTATTAAAGAGTGTCTATTTGAAGTAAAACAGATTAAGATGGTTTTTAAAGTAGATGTGGAACTTATTTTTAGATGGCTTACTGATGTGTTTTCCTAACATTAAATATTGAAGTGCACGTTTCTGATAACGTTTCTACATTCTGAGTTTCCATGGTCTCCCTTGCTCTCCTTTTAGGAAAACAGTGTATGGGGCTTGTGGATCTGGATCGGGCATGGGCTGCAGAAGAACAGAACTACTCTGTCCAAGTTATATCTATGGAGCCAGAGAGTTGTTCTCCAAAGAACAATATGTTTGTGGGCACCCCTACTTAGAGTGTGAAACTTGCATTCGATTTGAAATAGAACATAAATCTTCAGTGCATAATGACATCCAGCAGATAGAAGCAGAGCTGGGAACCAGACATCACGCATCTTGAACGCATTGCGCTCGGAAAAGGAAGCAGCCCAAAAAGTCTTAAAAAGCAAACTGCATGCAGAGCATCACAAATCAACTTGCGATGTGTCATTAAGCAACTTTTGGTTCTCTTCTGAGAAGTTTCTGGATCTAATGACTATGCATGGAATTATATCCATCTGTAAAGGTTTAGAAAAAAGTTGGTCTCATTGAAGGGAAGGTGGTTTCCTTTTCAGTAAAGCTGTTTCTTGGCTGCTTGAAAATTGCGTTCGTGGTCAAAACTGCATTTGGGTTTATAAGCAGAGCAGTTATCAGCCAGAAGTGCTGATCACTAGAGGAACAGGAAAGATCAGATTTATGGTGTTAGTGAAGAAGGATGTGGAACAGGTGGTGGCTAGACTTTGCTAAAGAATTCCATACTACTGTAGGAAGATTATTTTTAATAAAAGTTCATCAGATTACTTTGGGCCTCATTCTGTTTATTAAAAATGTATTCAAACTTGCCAGTCATTTTTTAACAAGATTTAAGTATTAAGTATTACACAAGAATTCTGTTAGCAGGTATTTGAAATTGTGTTTGAAGAAATCAAGTCCCTAGTTATCCATTGACCAGATAGTGGGAGCTAGTGATGATGTCAGCAAATGCGTACTTCATTATCACCTTTGCTAATTGACGTGCATTGCTTCCTATTTGTAAGAAACTCTGCTGTCAGAAGAAATTTTTAAGAATAGTTCCTGTGTCTATATACTCTATCTTCGTTGATTTTATATTCAGTTTAAAATTTGGTCAAAGTTGTGATTGTGGAACGATTTGAAAAGATCAGTCACAGTCATGTTACTCTAAAATGAAAATAAGCCTTCTGTGTTCAGTTTTCTACCCTAATTTAAAATCATCTGTTGACACTAACACCATGGAAAATAGCTCCTAATGACATTTTTGCTGCTAGTTTAAGGGTTTTACACTTTTATGAATTCTGCCATGTTTTAATTTAAATAATCGTAAGTTTGAAAACTGTGAACATAGCTTCAGTGCATGTGGCAAGCTGAATTACAAGCAATAGATAGAGGGAAAAAAGGATCCTGAAATATTTTATTCTTCATAGATACTTAGATATCTAAAAGATCTAAATGCTTGGGGTTTTTTTCATGTGAAAAACTGAAGGACGCTGCCCACTTATTTAGAAGCACAGAAGTGAGCAAGTAGGAGTGAATCCCTACCTTTAGCCTGAGTTCTGCAACTTTTTATAGTTACAGGAGTAACTGGAGGTTGGTATGGCAATGGTATAAATGGCAGGTATAAAATACATGGTGAAACCAATTATCTCCAGGGTTTTCTCTCATACTTGCCCAAAGAGAATTTGCTTTCTGAGATAGTGGTGTGTCAATCTGAACATGTTAAATTACTTTTCTGGAGTGAGAAAATGTTTCTTCATGACCTTTTTGTGCTGAAGGAAGAACTCATTAAGGTGAGATACCTGTTGGAAACTTTGATGCTGTTTACAGTAAGGATTTTCATACTGCTCTGCTCCAGGCAATGGGTAGCAATATCAATGTTTTAATTATGGTGATGTTAAATATTTGGCATGATCTGATGTTATGCAGTAATAAATGGCTTTCAGTAGAGCAAAGATCTGTGCTGTTACATGCTTCACAGTTTCTACAATACCTGTATCAATAGTCTATAATAGTTTTTGGATCGCCCTGAAAAGAAGGAATGTGGGATGTGCCACAGGGAGCATGTGTGCTACTGAATAATGGATAAAAATTTCAGTATTTCTTAGAAACAGAGTTGGAAAAGGAGCCTTATTTGAAGAAATAGTCTAAGAGGTTATTAGGTGCTTTGGATGGTCAAGAAAAATAATTAGTCACACAAGAATCCAAATACTAATCTCTGTGTCATGTGGTAGATTTTTTTCCCCATTTTTTAAAGTACCTGTTTTTATGTTGATGACAGTTTCCCACAGGTGTTTCTTATTTGTGACTTAAGTAAATTATTTTATATTTGCTGCCCCACATAGAAATAGGCTTCACAGGAGGAAAAGGTTTATAGAAGCAAGGGAGTAAAAGTAGAGCTGCATTTATATGCATCATGACATCCCATTTTTCTTGGATAAGACAAACTATAGAAAGTGAGTTTGTGACATTTTTTTTTTCCCCTAGAGATTGGGAATATTTTGGTGGCATCTCACAGTATCCGTCATCTTGATGGCTTACAGGGTTAGTGAGACTACATTCCATTTGAAATACTGCTTTGTGACCTTGTTGCTATTGGCATCAATGGGCTCTGGTTTCTTCTCAGAACAGAATCCTCCTTATATCTAAGGATGGAGCTATATTAGTATGAATAATAAAGAATGATACTTGAGATGAAATGATGTTTATTGAAAACTGAAGAGGAGCAGATAAAAAAAGCATAAAAAAGCGGAAGATAATTGCAACAACTGATAATACCTAATTTACCACAGATTAAATTGCTACTCTGTGCCATGTACTTTTCTCTAGAAATGTGAACACAATTTTTAGGTATGTTACTTTGCTCTATGTTTCTGTATACATAAATGGTAAGGAATTAATAGAGCCTAGAATTTCCCCAAACAAGGTGACTAGGCAGTGTGGTCCTGGTGAGTGAACAGCTGTTGTTCTTCTAGCTGCTTGTTATGCAAGGAGCTAGTTTGATGTACAAGGTGCATACCTAAATACTATTTGTGTTTGTTTTGTGTCGGGCCCCACTGGGACCAGCTATAGGATGAACAAAATGTTGTCCTAGCACAGTCATAATTTTCAATCATTTTGACAGTCTTCTTCTATGTTACCCTTGTAGCCTGTAATGCTGGAAAAAGTAAGCTTATAACAGGAAACAGATGACCAAACTGAACTGAGCTCCTCTGTCTGTTAAAGTGAGTTGTCTGTGTGTACATGTATCTTTTTTTTTGGTTTTTCATTTTTGTCTTTAGTGTGTTAATGATCTGCTTCCTTAGTCCTGTTGCCATATTTAGGCAGGGGTAGTAATAAACAAGGGACATTCCTAGAAGATAAATTACAAGTTGTCAAAATTACTCAATGATCATTCTTAGAAAGACACATACGAAATGATTTATTCATAGGATGGCCATAAATTTTAGACTGATGTTTTCCATTCCTCATTATTGCTTGACTTTTAGCTACCTGGTGGATGCAATGACGATAAGCAGAAATGTTGTTTTAAATAGCTGTATTCCTAGATGACATGATGTGCCAGGTATTCTCATTGAAAAGAACAATTAAAAAACCCTTTAGATCAAGTAAATTTGAGCTTTAAGTAACCTGCAATGAAATGGCATACAGCTGATTTTATAATAGGTTTAAATAGATGGTAGTTTGGCTAGACACCAGCTGCGGCTATTTTCTTTAAGATTTTGATTTAGCGTTAGTAATTTACCCTTTCAATGAATATATATATAATTTGAAAAAAGTATTGAGCTAGAAAAGCATTGATTAGCAAAAAGTAACTGAACAGTTGTTGTTTTCAGTCTTAGTGCTCAGTTGTCAGCACAAAGAAAAACACATTTTCCTTTAAGCCAGATACTATTTTCAGTGTTTTTGTCTGGGAGCATTTTCCTATCATAACAAATTCCTGATGTACAGTCTCAGTCTAAGTTCCCATGATTTTATTACCATTCTTTTCTAACAAAAGGAAAACCTAGGTATCATACATTTACCTCTCTATATGTCTGGTATTACTTACATGCCTCTAATAAAATAAAGACAACCTCTGAACTTTCCATGCTCAGACTTGCACTTAAACTACCTGGCTGTCATGGTTTCAGTTCAGTAGCTTATGCTTAGCAAGTTTCAGCTTATTACAATTATCATAAAAAGAAATTCAGCTTTCTACATTAATATATTAAGATTCTACACAAAGAATAAAACTGAAACCAAAATAATTTTCTCTTTGCTTATAGCTTTTATTTAATGAAAAATTGAATGAAATATCCTGCTCTGCAGTCTTCTCCTCAAAGTGAATTTAAGAAAATACCTGTATTTTTGAAATAGGTAGGGGTATTGAGGATAGTTTTATACTAAACCATCAGGTCAATTAAAAAAATAAAAGGAGAGGAGTTAACATTATCCCAGTATTAGCCTCTAAAAAGCTGATCAAAAGTTGCAACTTCCCTTGGTTTCTGTCTCACTTGCTGTATTTCAGGCCTTAAATGTGTTTTCCTGGACATGAAACCTGCAGAGCAGAACAGGAGTGAGCCTTCCTGAACCTTGGTAAGCTGCTGTCCCTGTCCCCATCACAGGCATGTGTCATGCCGTGCAAACGTGATGCCTTTTCACTTGCATTTTTTTCCCCGTGGGAATAATGTTACTCATTTTCACTTAGAAAACACAGACGCCAAGTATTAACACTACCTGAGGGAGCAGCTGGAAGCAGCACCTGTCAAAAGCGAAGGAATACGGCAATAGGACAATAACAATTTTCACCTGACAGGCTGTAGTTACTCAGTGAGACCCATCATCATCCCGTGCCAAGGACCAGGGACTGAGATGTACTGAAATACCACCCAGACCCCCAGCAAACCACTCCTTCCAGTGCTAAGCCTTCCTACTCCTCAGCTGGCAGCCAAGCCTGGGCAACTGGAGGAGACTCAAGCATATCCAGGTTTTTGGAGGATGGAAGATGCTGCAAAGCCTCCATCCTTTGCCAAGAGAAGTACTTAGGAAGGTATTAAGGAAGGTACAAAGCAGCCCCAGCAAAAAGAAACCTACCTGGGTTTTAGTTCTGCAGAACAAGCCACTCACTACTGACTACCACCAGGGGAGGTCAGAAATGTTTTTACTTTGAACAGCCTTAATATATATTTCTCTAATAGACCACCCACCAGCACTTCCTTATGAAGATTTTGGAAAACATACTCTGAAGTCACAGCCATTGCTATAGTCAAGCAAAGGCACATATTGACACATGAAGTGAAATGCAATCCTCAGTGAGACTAGTACAAATTATTATTTGTCAATAATAACATCTTTTTAGGGCTTCTTTTGATAATCCTTTTAGTAATCCTCTCCTATTTCTGTGTATATGTAGAGGGGCATTTCCCCATGGTGGATTTAGAGGGACTGGTCTGCCAGGTTGCTCTGGGGAGTGCAATCCTGTTCCTGTGCTGAGGCGTGTGGAGAGCCGGGTGTCTCACACCCCCCATCAATAACCAGCCACATGTCCCTGGTGGCCCACGAGGACAATCAGAACCTCTTTCACTTGGGTGCCTGTGGTAGAGAAACCAACTTACCTGTGGGCAGGAGCCCTGAGGGCAACCACAGCCATGGTGATGGGGCTGAAGAACTCGTCTGGTTACTGGACCTCTGCCGCCTTGTGGAGTGCAGTTGTTTGTCTACCCACAGCTCAAAATCAGCATCTGTTATAATTAACCTTTTCTTTTTGGAAGTTAATAAACTTCTTCCTTCCTGTGATGGAAAGGCA